TCTCTCCGTTTTCTTTTTCCGTCATACTTTTATTTGGCGCTGACCTCTTGGACTTCCTTGTGGCTTTCTTAACAGAGTTGGCATGAGTCGTGTTATCCTCCTTTGTCTGATCTAGACTGGTTAAATTGACAGWMATATCTTTCAGATTCTCTCCTTTTATCTTTTCCTTCATGTTTTTATTTTGCACTGATCTCTTAGATTTTCTTGTAGCTTTCTTAACAGAGTTGGCATTTTCCATATCCTCCCCATTTGTCTGGTTTGCACTGGTTAAATTAAGAGCAACATTTTCCTGACTCTCTTCTTGCTTTTCCTTTAAGCTTTTATTCGATACAGATTTCTTAGATCTCCCTTTAGCTTTTCTTTCTACAGGGTTCACAGTTGTGTTATCGTCTGCTTGGTGATCAACAGACTTGTCATCCTGATTCTCCGCATCTTCTTCTTGCTCTTGTTCTTTGCTACTTTTCCTTGTGACTGGTTTCTTAGATCTCCTGGTTTGTCTTCCCTTGGGTTTTACCATGTCTTCTGTTACATCATTCTCCGTCCCATTGTTCTTTGAAGCATGGCTGGACACAGAACCAAAGTCTGGTGACATAGCTTTGTGTTTTGTCCCTTCCAGGACAACGCTTTCATCCATCTGATAGCTTTCTTCATTATCTAGAGCCAAGTCATCATGAGACATGCTTTTRAGCATTGATATCTTGGATTTATTACCCAAAGTCACGAAGGTACTGTCGTCTTCTATATCCACAATCACAGTGTCATCTTTGGTTTTTGCACCAGTGGCTGCTTCGTCTTCCTGCACACCACCTTTGACCTTTGAACCTTTAGATTTGTCATGATTAAAGGTTACGCAGGGTGTGTCGCCACCATCTACATCCAGGACATCAATATCATCATCATCATAATCATCTTCTGTTGTTGTTTTGGGARCTGCCTTTTCTTTTTGCCTGCATCGTGCATTTGTTTCCTCTTCTTCTTCATCACTTACACCAACTATATCAATATCCTCTTCTGCTTCGATGATTTTCTCCCTAAAAAAGATAACTTAACAGTTAGAAAAAAATTGCATAAATTTTTGTTAGAAAAAAAGAATGAATAAAAGCCTTTTAATAGTTTAATAGCAGTGTTACTACAGAAATAATGGTTACATCAGACGACAGTAGTTTTTAGTTTTTAAATTAAAGTCAAGTATAATTCTTTTATCCTATTTTCATTGACAGCAAATGCTACRATTATTACAATTGAAGGACTTTTTAAGTCCTTAAAAAACAATGAACTGGCCGAATGTCTGGCCAACATGGAGATTATAGATATCACTGCTTTTTTTTTATCAACTCGTGCACATTAGATATTGTGCACAYTATTTGATAGCTATGAATCCAGTAACCAACAGCTACTGTACTGTTTTGGTTCAAYTTTGGGTGAAACAAGATGATAAAGACAACTGCTAAAAACAGCTGTAAAAGATAAAGATGAGAGWATGACAACCTACCTTGTGGTGTCCGCAATCTCAGCAGAAGGGAACAATCTTTTCTTGGAGCCAAAGAACTGTGGTGTAGGCTCAGTTGATGCCACACTGCATTTAACTGCTGTGCCTGTTGAGTTCGAAGAGATGTCTATTTCTCTTTCTTCTGGTGTAACGATATCGTTATTCTCCTTTGAGTGGCAGGACAATGGAGAGTTCTTTACAGGTTCAAGCAACTGYGACATGTTTTCATTATTTTCTGGGCCTTCTTCCTGGCTCTTTTCATTTAGTTCTGATGTTTTCACAGAGGTGGACAACTTGCTATCATTTTTTAAATCTGAAACAAACGTCAAATATCAACCTCATTAAAAACGAAACAAAGTATGTATATCAAGCACCACAGGGAACCCAATTTTTGAACTATTATCACAAAGCATATTTAAGCGTGAGTTTCCAGTTTTATAACTCACCTTTGTTAGAAACTGTGCTGACATCRCTCTCTCTAACTAAAATGACAAAGAATAACAAAAGATGAATAAATCTAAGCAAAGACAAGACAAAAAWATATTTTTAAATTTATTTAAATATAATATTATAGTGTGACTCTATACCAAACAAGGCCACCCAAACAAATTTTCATAAAATAAAGCTAATAGACCTCCTTGGCTCAGGAGTAATACTTTCCCACTTCAGACAACGTGTCATTCCCTACAGTATCATTTCTTTGTTTAACGGTTGTGTTCAGTTGTAAATGATAAGACACAGAAATAAGGATAGAACTCAAACAAAGCATCTTATTCTCAAGGAAATGACATGTGGTATGCAATGGGAAAGCTTTACATTCTAGCCGAGAAGGTCTATTGCAATTAAGCCTTTGKCTTCTGGGCATTTTCAAAATTTTTTAGGTGTTTTTCTGACTTAAAAGTTCTACAAGCCCTAGCAAAACCATATTATTTTGAAGTTGGGATGGACACTGTTAGTATTTTATGCAAATGAGGTTCAAAATTCACCAGTGGCATGATATCCATTATAACACTAATCTAGCTTACTAGGTGTACAATGTAGGTTTAAGCTCTGGATACTATGTGTACATGTACATACTTGAGTCTGGAAAGTAGTCCTCTATGAGTTCAAACCCATGGCTGTCCTTACGAGCATTGATCTCTATCAAAGCACCTGTACGTCTGCAAAATGGTAACATTCACCTCAGTATCATCAAAAATACAGGAATACCAGTCTAATTGCAGTCTGAGAGCAAAATTAGCTTTTTATGAAATTTTAAGTTTTATGAAAAGCATTAAATTTTTTCAGAATTTTTTCCAAGTTCCCTGATTAGCTAGTGACAATCCTATAGTGTACTCATATTTCTTTACTACCTACTATCCTTCTAAGCATTGACTCCTATGGCTTTTATTCGTTAAATGTCACTGACCTTCCAATGTATTGATTTGGCTTCAGTTTCACTGGCTTTGCATCATATAAGGATTTGTTTTCATCTTCACTCTCTAAGAATGAAAAAAGGGAAGTTTTTCAGTTTAAAAGTACTGAGAGCTCGTTGAGGAATGGGTTACATAAATATGGAGTTACTAAATAGAAAACAACTAAACCAAATGAGTCAGGGAACTTACCAGAGTCAGGAAAGTAGTCTTCGATGCGCTCAAAACCATGACTATCTTTTCTGGCATTTATCTTAATTACAGCTCCAGTACGTCTACATGAACATGAAAATATTAAAAACAAATATTCTGAATATTCTGATCAATCTTTGATCTATAATGTAGATCATACCATGTGTAAATCCTCATGTGAYACTTTATTGGTTGAGCCTAACTTTCAAATTAACCTTATTAGGGCTTGAAACAACCTCTGGGCTGATCAAAGTTAGGGCATGCCTAACTCACAGGTCGCACCCTGAAACAACTCGTGGGCTGACCAAAGTCAGGGCACAGCCCAGGAGGGGTACTCCGCCAGAATTTGGGTAGGGGTGTTCYGCTGGGATTCTGAAAGGAGTACCCTGTTTATGACAAAAAACCCCAAATTCGTAGACCCTGTTTATGACAAAAGATATAATTAATTGCACTGAGTTCCCATTTCAATTATCATGTCATCTCGCGTATCRTTTTTTTACGACCATAATAACCAGTTTTGGTCAATTATACGAAAGTAGAAACCCTGAATATGACAGGAAACTCAGGAAGAACTTGGAACTTAAGTGAAATTGCATACCCTGTTTATGACAAGAAGCTCTAATCAAAACCATACCCTGTTCAGCAGATCATCCCCGTATAGTCTATATATGGGAGTACCCCCCGGGCACAGCTAACTCACAGATTATTATTAATATTGTAATAATATATATTGTAATGAGGTTTTTCTCTGTGACATTATACTATCAAAACATTTTAATTTTTCGTCTTATCAGTAAAAGAGTCATTGTCAATAACTTAGATAATGCACAAATTTTCGAACCTTACACAATTTACAAAGACATACAGTACATGCACAGTATGTTCACAGGCAATAGTCCCTTCACAGTTCCCTGTGCCATCTTGAAAGGTAGCTATGCCTTTGCATCAAAGCGAGACGAACGGTCAGTTTGCAATAATAGAAACCTTTTTTTTAACACCTTGGACAATTATTCACATGTCTCTATCATTGCAAGCTCACCGTTCGTCTCGCTTCGATGCAAAGGCACGGCTACCTTTCAAGATGGCGCAGGGAACTGTGAAGGGGACTATTAATGTTTTGATTAATAACTTTAATGTTTTAAAAAAAACCAATAATAATATTTTACGTGTAATCTTCTTGAAAATTTTCAGTTTTACCAATATTTGTATGACAACTTTGTATACACTTATTTCAATAAAGTTAGAAAACTCATTATTAATTCATGAAGAAAACACAATAGAAATCATAACCATGAAGGTGACTTTATATCTGATATAGATTCGTCTTCATTTGCATAAACTTTAACTTGGATTTTCTCTATCAAACTTGGTTCATTTCGTAAAGTATTCTGTACAATATGAGAACATACATCATGAGTTTTCTAAGCCATTTAATAAACTCACAGATCGTGTCTTATTGGGTCTAAAACCACTCGGCTGTGCCTCGTGTTTTATACCCGATAAAACACTCCTGCTTGTTTATTAAACAGTACTTAGTCACCAAAAACCTAGAAAGCCGAGATCACTGAGCATCATGGGAAACTTTTCATATCAAAAAAGCATATATATACAAAGCTTTTTTAATACAAACTGCAGCTCGATGATGCTCAGAAGAGGTGAGACTGTAACCGGTAAAAGATTCGCAAGTCCATGAACAGTTATCAAGCGGTTGAACGTGTAAAATGAATCTACCTATAATCCTTGTCAGCGTCAGCTTTATAGCTTTTCAGGTGACTAACTTTATTGAAAGAATACATTTTTGTATATCAAACAAATTATCTACAGCGTGACGTCACATGAAAAACCACAATACACAGACGTACAAAACAAGACAACAGCAGTTAATAATGGATATGAGATGGTGTTATTCTCGGTTTGTACAGATCAGCTGTTTTATAAATCTTTCTCGAGCTACAGATAATATTTCACGATTATTTACCTTCCGATGTAGACTTTTTGTTCTCCATTCGCAGGGCTTGCTGCAGCAACATTCGCTGACTGCAACACAAACAAAACTTCATCTTTAACTAAACATTCAACGGGATCGCGTTCCTACTTGTCCCTATAGCCTTCATTAACCACATTCTTACTAAATCTAGCTTTAGACCTTCTTAAGAATTAGATTTTAGTGCAAATAATTCAAGAAAATACAAATAAAATGTCTGATCTTTAGTTCTCACCTGTGCATAGCCTTTCACAGTCGACGCCATTTTAACCAACTTTTCTTGTCATAAACACCCTATTTCCCCTTAAATTAGCTAACACTAACATACATAAGCTATAAAACTTTGAAAATTATGAGCTACAGTTTATAATAACTAATAATTTGTAGATATAATCAGGTCCCCTGTTTTGAATTTTTTACCGTTCAGATTTTCGCGCTCATTTGAAGGCTATCCCATCATCCATTGCGCGCCGTTAGATCAGCTGACCAGACCCTGCGGGCGCAGATGTAATGGCGGAAAAAGTTGAGCTCAACTTTGCTGAAAGCTGGATCATAAAAATACATTTTTGGGTTAGTATTTTAAATTTAATCCTGCTGTAATTGTTAAATATGGGTACAGTATTTATTATTGAATAATTCTTCCGCTTGTCACCTTTCTGAGTTAYTTAGTTTTTGCATAATTCTGGGCTTTCTTAACTCGTGTAAGCTCATTTTTTTTGCAAAGATCTTTTTTGTMTTTTCTTTTCTTCCCTGGAAATATAGTTATTCCTTTCTTTGTGTGGAGACTATGGAAAATTTAATTGTTTGAAATATTTGTTAGCAACCTTCAAATGTTACAATGCTCATGTTGCGAGGTCGGGTTATACCGTTGTGAGGGGTGTGCAGGGGGAGGGAGAGGTACTGTACGCAAATTTTAAGTTGAGTGGTAGAAATCTTTTTGCCTTTAGTTTTAAATTAATGAATTTTGACAATTTTTATTTCCGAAAATTGAAACAAATTTGTTTGATACAAAACTACTGAAAGCTTTATGTTCTATGTGCAATATTGCACTTGTATAATATTGTCACACGATAAATTACAATAGTTATAATTGTCCTTTTACTCTAATTCTAGCATCCGTTTACAACATGTATATACGACATCTATACTAACAGGGAGTAGGGGGAGGTACAGCTGTAGGCTTTTATAGCCCTGCATTCTTAAACCAATTTTTGTCAAAACTTGCAGTTTCCTGGTTTTGAGGTTGATTTAGGGTCCTCAGCTAACGTTCTCTATCTTTTCCAGGCCTTTAATCTAGTAAACAGCACATTTGGCACCATGCTAGAGGCCTTGCCATGGAGTGCATTCCAGGACGACACAACTCACTTTTGGGTACATTATGGGCTGTGCATTTTTGGTTTCGTACTTGCAGTAATRACAATGATTGTACAATTCTCTAAACCTGCGCCATATGGAAAACATGYCAATGATAACACTAACTGGGGCGTAATGGTTCATCAGCGACTAGCGCATACACTATCTGATGCACCRCCAGGAGTCATTCTATTTACTCTTGTTTTCTTTCTCTATGGAGTACAGAGGGRATTCGTCAATATTATATTCTATGTGCTATGGATGTGTCATTAYATCCATCGAGGTATCATACACCCTTGGATCATGAACTACAGCAGTGCCAAGACGCCAATAGGAATCCCCATAGCTGGGCTATTTCCCAATTTCCTCTACAGCTACTTAAATGCTGATTGGATCAGCTCAGCATTATATGTACGTGACTATTACAAGGACCCAAGGTTAATTACTGGTGTAGTTCTGTTTGTTATTGGGTTTTGTATCAACCGTGCTGCAGATTTCAAACTCCGAAACCTCAGATCTGGAGGAAATACTGGGTATTTAATTCCTCAAGGTTGTCTCTTCAAGCTCGTTTCCTGTCCTAAYTATTTTGGAGAAATGCTTGAGTGGTTTGGTTGGGCAGTTGGGACCTGGTCRGCAGCTGGTTTGGTTTGGTTTTTGTTTGGATGTGGTACTTTTGTTCCAAGGGCAAAACAAAATCACAATTGGTACAAGGAGAGATTTCCAGACTATCCCAAAGATAGGAAAGCATTAATACCATTCATATATTAAACATGATGTTGATGACGTTGAGACCAGGAAATTGGATGGCTCCAAGCTTAATACCAGTATACAGTTGCAATACATTGCTGGTGTGCATCATTGGTTTAATRCAAAATTTATATATTTTCCATGTCAAATGTATGTATGCATGTTTATTTTGATTCACAGTTTTTCTGTTAGTTTTTGATCCTCTTCATTAATTAAGGAAGTTCATCGCAAAATTCTTCCTGGGATTTGCTTGTGACGCTGTTGAAAAAAGATAGTTTAAACTCATTAAAGTATATGTAATTTTTGCTTTATATTATCATCACCTCCYATGCAGCTACTTATAGTATTGTCATGCAACCTTGTTCGGGGAAGGAAGTGTTGCTTGTCATTGCCGATTAGAACTTATCGTGATTTTGAGCCACTAATTTGGGTTTATATTGATGACTAGTTGGGGGAAATATATCCCTGTTTTGGCCATAGTCTCCAATACAGGATATATATTTTCTTTTAACGCCATCAATATAAACTCGTATTGTTAGCTCAAAATCACAATAAATTTTCTATCATGATTATCCTATCGCAAGGTAATTCTGAGCCAACAGTACGGGTAAACATTGGCAGCTCTCTCCTATMAAACTCATAGGAGAATCAAGATACTATTATCGATAGCAACAAAAATTCTCGTATTTATACTTTTAATAATATCCAGAGAAAATGAAGACACTAAAAGCAATTGTAGGACTGACATCAGAAGTAATCTTTCTCTCCTAACCTCATCCACGCTTTCATTCGAAATTAGACRGACCTAAGAAGGTAAGTAATAGAGGTGAATAGATTGTTGAATTTGAAAGGGCTTCTTACCTGTCATATAAGATATTCCCTGATACTATGGGCTCTCTGTCTGTAGATTCATATAATGGGTTGTGCGAATTTTGTTCATGTACTTCTTGATAAATATCTTCCTTTTCTTCGTCTTTCAACACAATTGTTGATTTATCTGTTTCTGAGTTTGGAAAATCTTTGATAACAGTTCTAAAAAAGAAAAATTGTGTCAGTGCTATCCATTTTATAATAATTCTATTTATTTGTATTTTATAAAAGAGTTAAAACTTGCTTGCTTGCTGTTTGCAGATATAAAGCACTTAGGTAATCCCAGAACACTTGAAGTGATGAGAAGGCAATTCATACATGTATCTAACATTGCAATTTGTCATATTTTATATGAATTTAACAAAATTCTTTTATTTCATTCATAAAAGACCAAATAAAAAACTTGTGCTATTTGTCATGCTTCTCCTAACACTTTTCTCGTGTTCTGCCAAATTCCGAGAGCTTTATTACTGCACACAGCTTATTAGAGTGCTCACACTAAATCCGTGAAACAAATACTAATTTTTAGCTTTAAATAGTGATAATTAAACAATAGAAAACAAAGGATTCTGTATGAAATAGTACTAATTAGTACTATTTAATGTTCACGGTTTTAGTGCGTGCACTCTAGAATGTTTTCTATAACTTAATGACAAGGATAGAGAGGCACATGTTGAGTAACACAACTAGTGCTAATTGTAATAATTATTTTGGCATGGCTTGCTCTCAATTTTTGCTTTTGTGGAATTGCATTGCAGACTGATTACAAAGTATGCAGAATATATACGTAACAAGCTAGGCAAATGCTTAGTCAGGTAAGAATAGGTTAAATATCTGCACTCGGAGTACACACAACAAACCTGTGAAAGAGCATTGAAAATAAGTAACATAACATCCTTTGCTTTCAATGAACCCCTCTTTACATTGTCTTTAATGCAAGGCTCACATGAAGACACAAAAGAAATGCTACAAACTCCATTGAGAAAATGTGTTATTTCTTTTGTATTCCATGTTAGCCTTGCATTCAAGACAATTTTAAGAAGAGTCCATTGTTTAACACTGTTGTTTAGAGCTAATTAAGAGTTTTTTCTTGGATTTATTGTGTTCACTTTAGTGTGCAGTATATAGTACTCGTCGCAAGCTTATTTTTCGTCATAATGTTTGATACATGAAATTGGTGTAGACAGCAATGAATGTTGACCTTAACTGAATAGGAAGTATAGGAACAACTTACCCAAAATATGCAGGATTGTTCATGGCTCCAGCTTGGTACCTAACAATGTAACAAAGTCCATCAGATTTAAGTTTCTATYGTTGCATAATGCTACAAGCCCTGTCAAAATTGGCAGTGTTTGCTATACCAAAATAAAGCTACCATTCCAAACTGATTAAGACATAATTGCTCTTTTGCCAGACTTGATTCATCAATAGGCTATTTCAYGGATYCTGTTACTCAACCTCRGCCTCGTCAGCRTGTAATATATTCTTTAGAAATTGCCTACAACCTGTGAMATTTTTAAGTGTTTCAATTGTTCGTTGATGTGTAAATTCYTTTCATTACTGCRGACTGTAGTCAAATTCTAAAGAAWAATTACAYGCTGACGAGGCTGAGGTTGAGTAACGGGATCCGTGAAATGGCCTATTGAGGTTGTCACACAGTCGGTACAGTATATCCACACCCGACCAACCCCCACCTATATACATTTACCACAATATACAGTACCATCCCCATCCCTATCACCTGCATCAACCCACCATCACAATCCTAGGACAATATTAACTAATACATTAGGTAATTAAGTCAGCAATATTCACCTCATTGAAGGATTCTTTTCTTCTTTTGCTCTACGCATTTCTCTGAATGAAAAAAGAAAACATTTTTGCTTGATGCTTTTTSTTTGACCTGATATATGAAATGCTGAACCATCCCTTCTAAACTGCAATTCATTCATCAAGGTAATGTTTTCAGCCATTTATAGATCAAAATGTATGGACAAAAAAATATTTACCGGCCTACACACMCTTGCTGGGAAACCTTAACAAAAAAGCCAAAATGATCTAGTAAACCTAACCTCCATCTCCAATATACAACGATGGCAACAATAATGACCACAGCCAAACATATTAAGACTGGAACGACGATAGAAGCAACAGGAACTTCTGTTATTGATTTCTGTAAGCAGGCCTTCCTTGGCATTAAAGTCTTGTTTGAAGACAGAGTCGTTGAGAATGAGGTGACGGGTGTGGAGTGTGATGATGTCACTGCTGCAGTAGTGATGGAGGAAGGATTTGATGACGTCACTGCTGTAGTAGTAATGAAAGTATCTAAAGAAAGTTATAGACTTTAGTTTGTTTTAAAGACTGTAGCAAATTTTCTTTTTGAAGAAGGATTGTCTCTGGAATGTTTTTATCATTATACGTTTTTACATATCACTTTTTACACTTTCCGCTCACCTTCTCTTAATGCTCCAAAGTCAAAATATTATTTTTATTTTTTTATTTTCTTATATTGCATTTCATTGATCACTTGAAAAAGTATCATGGCATGGCTCACTTTCTTGTGCTCAAAAAAATTGCAATTTGCCTATGATATTACACAAAGCAATGGACACCTGCTCAACTGAGACCTCGGCTCGTGGATAATGTTTTCCCATTTAAGGCCACATGTCATTCCCTAGAGTACCATTTCTTTGTTTAACTGTTGCGCATGAAATGACATGAAAATGGATACAACTCAAACAAAGAATCTTATTCTCATAGCAATGACACGTGGTCTGAAATGGGAAAACATTAAGTAGTGAAGTTACTAGCATATCTACCAAAATTTTCTTATTTTTACTTAAAGGTAGGAATGTCAGACAGCACACTATTTTATTCCCACTAATAAATGTGTTAGATATTTCACGAGTTTGTACCATACATGAAGTACCATATGACTAAAGCCTCTMAACCAAGTCTGAGTAGTTTTAAGATATTKAAYGTGGCYTCTTACGCTACTGCAGATAAAGGTYAATGTGAATGTTTTAAGGCTCGGTAATTACCTGTATTGTTAATCGCTTGGTATTCTGCTCGGAATCCCTTGTCATTCCMTGTGCTATCCGATTGAAAAACCATGAACAAATTATTCGAGGATGACATCACATCACCAGGAATTCTGTTACCATGGAAACTGCCAATCAATTGGCCCTTGTCATCTTTGCCATCATAGATCTTTAGGAGGTCACTTTGGTTTGAAGTCTTGATGAGTGAGAAATGAGAGAATCTCAGTTGGATGGTTTGGTTTGGGTGTACAAGGATGGCCCATGAACACAGTTGCCCATTGGGATACTTCAGTGGGAAAAAGGGAGACTGCAAAGCCCCAGTCGTGTYGTTAAGAACGTACTTACAACCTGAAAAGCAGTGTCAAGAGACCAAAAACTCAGAATCTCGATACTCCACGAGAGTGYAAGGGTAGGATAGATGGGTACGTTATAGTAGTAGTACAAGGGTTGTCACAACATGCACAGAAATACACAGAAATGCCGAAACCATGTTGTGACAACCCTTGTACATTACTACTATAACGTACCCATCTATCCTACCCTTGGCACCGCCCTGTACTATAGTTCAATATACTTACTAGTATAGTAACAGTAGTGTATAGTGTGTCCATCTACTCCACCCCTGGCTCCATAAGGGTAAAATCCAGATTTACTATCAGCGTTGTTGTCATTTTCAGTGTCATAATGTATCCACTCTAAAGAGGCAACTGCCCACTTCACTTGCTGGCATTGCTCTGAGTTGTAAGCCAGAAGATAGAATGGATTGTCCACAGGAAGATCAATAGGAGTTGTCTTCAATCCACTGGTACTACAGCAAAAATCAATTGTCGTTCCAGTAATCAGGTAAGTTCCTTGAGGAAGTGTTCCACCTTTCTTGTTTTGGTTTTCATTGTCTTCATCGTCCCACTTCACTTGACCATCTTGTAATCCTCGAGGGCATGTCAGTGTGCTGCTGGCTTTGTAGATGCAATACTCTCCTGTTTATATAAAAATGTATAAATGTCACGTAATACGTTAGAATTTCTCTCTTTGTTCCTTTCAGGGTGTAAAAAAGAGGACAAAGAAAGCGATAACTCCCACAGGTCTTGCTGTCATACGTCAACTCTAAAGGTAATTAATGTAGSTGTTCTTTTTTAACCATTTCTTTCCCTCCTTCCCATCAAGTTTGGCTACAAACACACGCCCTACAGACCTTTTAAAATCATGAACACTCTAGCCTTGAGCGACATAAGATTCAAAACCAGAGTTTTACCTTTTGGCCAAACCGTTGTCGCATCAGCATTCCCCGCGCCACTCGTCTTYATACAGAATGATCTGTTAACACTGCTCTCGCGTACTGATCCTTCAACATGAAGAATAGGCGAGCGGCTGTTCTGTGGGTTCTTRTCTTCTGTATCTTGGAAACACCAACCTGTCTTCCAAGTAAAATTTGATCTTGGACAGCCAGACACTGGCATGGGAAGACCATAGTTTCCTGCAGGCCAGGATAATGGTGCTATGACATGGAAACAAAATGGTAAACATAACTTGAAACACGCATTATGAGTAAAGTAAAGTAAAGTATGCGTGATGAAGGAAATCAAGCAAAGAGACAACTGGAAAATGCAGTCGGTACACATAACTTGAAACAGTAATCTAGGAAGGTTAAATATCACAAGAAGGACAATGACTGAAATTTCAATCAAGGACACAAGCTAGCAAAGCAAATAAGAGGAAAGCAAGTAAGCAGGCAAGCAAGCAGGCAAACCTACAATCAGACAAGCAAGCAAACAGAAAAACCACCAAGCAAGCAAGCAAGACTAAGCAAGAAAGCTAACAGTACAGGCAGGAAAAACAACGAGCAAACAAACACTAAATGAGTAAGTAAACACTTAATTGTTAAAACAAGGTATTATACATAAGGTTCAATTTAATTATGGGTATGGTTTTCAGYAATTCTACTCTGGAACAGGGTATATAAATTAAATTTCGCTCGCTCTCTGGAACAAGGTATAGGAAATCACGCTCTCTCTCTCTGGAATAGGGTATCTTTTTTCGCAAGTACCGGAATGGGTTTTTTTCATATAACAGGGTATGGTTTTCAGCAATTTTACTCTGGAACAGTGTCAGGCTTCAGAGGGCTCAGCGGCAATTTCCTACCCTAAACAGGCAAGAGTTACTATAGAACCAGAGAAGTACCCTGTAACGTACTCCTAAAATCGTTTAATAGGATAATGGATATGGGAGAAGTTAGGACTACAGTATATTTGCGACAGAGGTTTTACTAAACGTCATAAGCTCCTTCCGTTAACATGCTTGAACCCCAAGAAGTCTTTTCTTCTATCGTCAGCGCGATGTTTCTTTTTTTTAAAAAAAAGCTTAAACGGAATTCGTCACGAGTAAAGAACTTGAACTGCAGCTCATGTGGCTTGTCGGGTCATGGGGGTCAGTCGAAAGTGAGATTTCAAGCCAATCGGGYCATTTAGATCTTTGCACTAGAATTTACGAAGTTGTAGGGTATCTYAGCTGTTTAGTTGTGGAAACCGACAAATACTTTTTTTTTTCATAGTAAATTTGGTCTACTTCACTGATTCACACACTTCAAAATCCCAGTGAAATCCCTAACCAGGATCTGTGGTTTCCGGTTAACTCGGTTTATAAAAGCAAAGATCGGATGTTCACCACCGATACTTTTAACCCCACTAACGAGACTTGATAATGGCAAAAAAATACCTTTGCACAATTTTACCACACATTGCATATGTCTAGTCGTGTTTTAATCAAGCTGTAATACGATAGACTGTCAAGGTTGAATTTGATTGATCAGTTAATCTTTATAAACTATACTGATGCTACTTTGTATGTTCCTTATAATATCATTATTTGACTACTATTATATATTTTATACACTATATCAGAGTTCTGACTATAGCTGTAATAAAACTGCTATAAAAATTCCTTCATTATATAATCGAAAGTATCACTCTAATGAGAATCGACTTTGAAATGTTACCTCTGTTATCTGACGGCCAGACTCACTGACTCAAGTTTTACATAATTAAAGAACAATGAACAAACGCAATGTACTTACCAGAATAATGTGAGCATACTGTTAGGATAGTAAATATGCGCGGAAAGAAATTGCGTAAGAAGCCAGGCATAGTGAAGCAGTCGTGTTGTTGTGCTCAGATAAACAAGTTGTTAATATTTAGTTTTGTGGTTAAATATTATGAGTGTGAACGTGTGAGAAGTGTCAGTTGGACAATTCACAGGTAGCCCAAGCTTGGTTTCTGTGGTGTCCTGCTATAAGGAAATGTATGGAGATTCATCAGAAATTTCAATAAAATCATTGAAACGTGAAATAAAGCCTCGAAATTTTACCCGATCATTGAGAAATAGCACTTCTTTCGCTCTGCGTGGTTATTTTTTTAATTTAGCCCGTTTTAAGATTTTTTCCCCCACCAGTAAGAAATAAGAGAAGGTTGGAAACTCGAGTCCCAAAAGCGAACCATCACGGGTCTTTGAAATCTCGTACGTCTTCGAATTATTCCTTACTGGTGGGGGAAAAAAATCTTAAAACGGGCTAAATTCAAAAAATAACCACGCAGTTTAAAAGAAGTGCTATTTCTCAATGATCGGGTAAAATTTCGAGGCTTTATTTCACGTTTCAATGATTTTATTGAAATTTTTGATGAATCTCCATACATTTCCTTATAGCAGGACACCACAGAAACCAAGCTTGGGCTACCTGTGGACAATTCAAATCGCAAAATGTTAGGGGAGGGGAGGTTAGGTTGACCATCTTTTCGTCACGTGAAAAAAAAAACAAAACAAAAAAACAAACAAAAAAACAAAACAAAAACAACAACAACTGGGTTGCCTGCGAAAGTCTGGTCTAGAAATATTATGATTGTGAAAGTGTGAGAGGTGTCAGTTGGAACAATTCAAATCGCAAAATATTAGGGGAGGGRAGGTTAAGTTAACCATATTTTTGTCACGCGAAAAATAATTACTACTGGGTTTCCTAAGTAAGTCCGGTCTAGAAATGTGTTTTTTAATCACTGCCAAATCAGACGAATACTTTACACAAAAGCAACTACTCTTTATGTTATATAAAAAAGAAGTATTAAAAATAATTATTGTCATTTATTTTGTTAATAATTTTCGTACGTGCGTACGTACATAACGTACTTTTCTCCCACAGTCGTCTTTCGCTTCAAAAAAATATTTCGCACACCCGTTTTCTCGGTAATAAGAAGTAGTCGACTCGTAGCAAGCCTAATGAGGAATTCATTTGGCATTCAAAGTTTGTTTTTTCTTCTCTGGACTGAAACTGCGGGAGATGACGGTTTATAAAAGCTAGAACGCGGAGAATAGCAAAAAAGRTCACAGTCCGAGGAAATAACTGCAATTTTTAGCTCGTGTTTAATATTTAAATATAACTAACGGCTTTGTCCTTGTGCGTCATTGATCAGTACAAACCTGTTTATACGGTCTGCAACTAATGCAAGATCGTTGATTACGAAAATAGAGGCCGTCGTCTGCCGGAGTTAAAACACAAATGGTCTCCTAATGAGAATTGATAATCTTTTAGTATAACAGCCCATCGTGGCGTCCATAAAGTGGGASCTCTCTTTGATCTATCTTTCTAGCGCCTGAAGAACCACAGGGATTCCATTAGCAATTATTTCCAAGCCGTCTCTTTAGTTGGATCCCTCTGGTATTTCTATATTCATAGGACCAACAGTTTAAATAGACCTCTTTACCTTAGTTGGGCCTTTCTCATTTCACCCCACGGGTCATTCCCTAGAATATTATTTCTTTGTTTAACGGTTTAAACCCTTTCTGTRAATCGATAACACGTGCAAAATCCAAGATTCTATGGCTGAGATAGCTTATGAGATCCCCTTTAAAAACTATCTTAGTTAACTTAAAAATACAAAAGGAATAGGACGAATTTGATCAATAACAGAGCGGTTTCCTTTGTGACGCCATTTTCCTGTTTTTTCGCATCCAGTTCAAAGTTTGACCAAGGAAGACTGGTGACTACCTCGCTGTGCAAAGGATTCTGGAAAAGAATTTGTATTCTCAAAAATTATTCCCACAATCCATTGCACAAATAGGTAGTTACCAGTCTCTTTTAAACATCCAAAAAGGCAAATGTCATGAAAATAAAAATTGATGAATAAAAATTTGTCCTACGTTTTATACTTTTAACACTACATTGTTCGAWAGATTCAAAACTAGAATTTTTTTCCTGAAAATTTTTAGGCGAAAAAGTTTTTTAGTAAATTAACAGTCTTTTCGGGAGTATTGAAAGAGTGTACAAGCAAACACGCAGCTGGAGTAACTCTTAAAACCCTGTAGCTCTGACGTAGACTACTTAATGATTTATAAGCTGTTATAATTATGTTTGCTTATTCGGGCACTTCACTGATTTGGACGTGCAAAAATCACTTGTCGTCTTTAAGAATCGTTTAATGTCGAAAACAAACTTTGGAAAGATGGTTGAGTAGGATAGGAAATCAGATAGACCGATCTTAATAGTGTCAGAAGATGAAGACAGACTTAAACTGTCAAAAATCTATAATGTCAATATATGCAGACGGATTAAGTGCAAGTCAGATGTTTTATCTCGTAGATAAATATTTATTATAAGAGTTGAAGTCCAATTCTAGTTGTGTAATTAGGATTTGAGAAATGTGAGGGCGGATCTCAACTTCCATGTTTTCAGTTTATCATTATCGATAGCGATGACAGATGACCTTGTTGTTCTTTTCGTTCTTATCATTTTTCTTACTCTTGTTGTCAATATACGACTTGCACTAACAGGTCACGTCACCCCATCCCCCTTAAAGCGAGCACATGAGCCAAAATGAACTCCRGCAATGAAAAGAGCACCTCAAATTTAGTGAGAGGGCGAAGTTTCAGCTCTAAATGTTTTCTATAGAAGAAATGACATTAAATATAAAATCAAAAATTTTACAAGGATTTGTATGGGAAAAGTTTGCATGGTAAGCYTGTGCCATCCAGCACATTTTCCCAAACAAATCCTTATAAAACATYCAATTTTATATCTAATGCCATTTCTCCTGTTTCGCTTATTATGAGCTGAAACTCCGCTTCCCTACTAATGCCAAGATGCTCTCTTCGTTTCTGTTTTTTATTTTGACAAAACTGCTCGTTTAAAGGAAGGAAGGAAGGGGCACGTGACAACAACAACAACAACAACAACAACAATACAACAATATCATTGTCAAGCGCAGAGAAAATATATATAGGAAAAAAATCGAAAAACCGACTTGTCACATGTCATCTAAGAATGGTTTATCTTGTCACTGTTGTTTTTGTTGTTGTTGCTGTTGTTGTTGCTGTTGTTGTTGTTGTTCTTCGCCTTCTTAGTCTTCTTCTTCTTATTGTTTCAATCATCGAATGACAGACTTTATTATCATCGTTCATCACCCCCAACACCATCTGTTCCATTTTGCTTTAACCTAAAATAGAAAAAAGGCATTTACAAACTCATGATATTTACTAAAATAAACCCCAGATTGAAAGCAACTGAATAACGGAAAAATCGCTGTACACGAAMAACAGATGACTTGAAAAACAAAACCAGACAAATGCATAATAAAATATCGATATATATACAAAAAATATTCGAACGGAAAGCGGTTACTTGCAGTGAGCATCATTTTCGAAACTATAAGGTATCAAGGACATTAATAGGAGCAATGTGCAGCGGAATCAGAAAATAATCTTTCCCAACTCATACAAAAACCTACCTTGCAAAACGTCTTTATTACGAAACAGTTAATAGTCTAATTCGACAACACGGCGGCCATCTTGGATCGCAAGGCATTTATGAGGTGTGCAGGGGGAAAATAAAGCTTTGTTACAGGGGCACTTGGATGAAAACGCCCCAATTTTTGAAAGTCCAAATAATTGAAGTATTTGAGGATAATATGACGCAATTATGACTATGTAAACATAATTAGTGAAAATTTTAGCCTGGGAGCCACTTGCGGTTGAGAAATTTTGGATTAAAAGCAGAAAGAACAATAGGGTTGAGTAAATGACGTCATTTACTCACAATTTAGATGCTGAATAAAATTGTTCATTTTTACCCGCCACTTTTGACTGTAAAGAAAATATGTTGCTTGGCTACTATTGGCGCCATATAAATAAGTTTAAACAAGTTTCAAGTCATTTTCAATTTTCATCCAAGTGCCCCTTTAAAGTAATGACGTCGATTAATATTAACAGCCCACCACATGAAGAGAATACAACAAAAGATGAATTAAGACGCCACATCGATCACCTTTACCCRCAAACTAAGAAAGACAAGCACACGAAACTCTATATATATTTCCCGTCATCTTTCCTTTTGTTTTGCCTCCAGCAAGATGGCCGTCGTATTGACGAAGTACTCCATGGTTGCTGCACTGTAGTCCCCGCGTATGATTTCGATTTTTTAAAAGTTTTAATTGGCAGCAAACTTCTTGCAAAGAATAAAGCTTGTTATTTCTATTAATTTTGCATTTTGCAGGGTATTGCATTTAAGCTGTTTGTTTAGTGCTTAGCAGCATTATCCGACGAAGTTCTTGCGTGGGGTATCTTTTTTTTCGGGAAACTGAACTAAAAGCGTTGCAAAGAAGGCACACTAGCCCAAGGCTAACTCTTTGGTTTTTAGTGTCGCTGTGGGAAGGCCAACCCTCTTTCACCAGATTCAAGCARCATATCAATTTAAATTATTAGCAATTAAGCACCTGCTTTAAAAAACACTTAGGATCATCAAATTTTCATGACGTTTTGTTAGCTCGTGTTTTGTAACCTAGGTAACCCGCGATTCTCCAAACTTCCTAACTTTTGACTTTAACATGTTTGAAAATGTCTAAAACTGAACGACGAAAATACCCTGGAGTGAGATGAAATCAAGAGGTAACTAAGTTGGCTTTTCTTGCAGAGACAAACGAATAACATTATCTACATTAACTGATGTTATACCAGGGGAAAGATTTGTTTTTAAGGTATAAAATGAAAAAAAGGTCTTTCTTACTTTCTTACTTTAACACTACAATAATCTTTATTTAACGAGCAAGCAAACGCATTAACCATGAATTAGTCTAGTAATTTGTTCTTTTTCTTTCTTTTTTACGTAAWCTGTCTATCATTATAAGAAATTAAATATAGATGATTTTTTGGGAGAGATTTTTTTGATAGGGATATTGCTGCAATAACTTAAACGATTTATAATTCATCAATTAAAACGCCGGATCTAACAAAAACCTGCACAGACCGGACAATGACACTGTTTCATGTGATTGGTCAGAGAGATGTGTAGTTGCTCTTGATTGGCCAATATTGGTATACGTCATAGGTGCGGTGTTGAAAGACAGATCATGTGGGGTTTTCTTGGTCATGCGATGTCAAATGCCTAAATCTAGCCTCACGAAAGAGAAGCAGCTGTTCTGCTAACGCATATTTAGCAATAAACTATCAACTTGCCGGCAAAGACCTCGCTGCTTTTCGAATACTTTATCGTTTAGATCAGTGGTGAAAAACCCGTGACAGGACCTCGRAGTTAAAGTTAAGTCTTAGAGCCTTGATTGAACTAAACATGGGAGAAAGCATTTCTCTTCAAATATCATTYGGTATAATTGCTATGCTTGCACTTAGCTGCAACTTTGTGTTTTGTTTGGTGCTACTTATGGACCGAAGGATGCTTCGCCAGGCTTGTAATGTCTTCTTGTTCAGCCTTGCGGTCACCGACATGCTAACAGGTAGGCGAAAAGTGTAATAATGTTTTTAGTAAATGCAGGTCAAGACCTATGCTGGGAGATGTCGTGTAAGATATATTTAAAACTCGTTATTTCATTTTATTTTTTTACTTTTTGATTTTAATAACAGTGAATATTGTGTGTTAAAATAGTTGCTGTATTGAAACTGGAAAAATTCTATCAGTATTAAATAAACTCACTGACCTTAAATCTTTTCTTTTTCAATGAAATAATAATAATACTTTAAAACCGAAGTCACCATAAACTTGGAAAATAATATTTATTTAGGGAAGATGTTCTCTGTCGTTTGTTGTCTTACCAACTCATACATCTTTGCTTGTTATATAATACCTTTAAAATTTGTAACAAAAAAAACAAAAAAAAAACACGTAGTCTTCAAATATCATTTAATGTTATATACGAGTTTGTGCTCAATTGGATCGGACTGTACAATGTCACTGTACCATGGAAAGAGTTTGCAATATTTTCCAAGAGAATAGTAAACCTTTAGACAGACAAATAGATAGAGCTATTTCTAAATTATCTTTATCGTAGATGAAACCATCCGCGAAATACTTCGTATACTTCTTAGAAGACTATGCTATGATTTCTAAATTTCTTTTTTTTTTTTTTTAGAAAATGTTCACTCAAAATAATACTGAAAGCAATTCTTGTTTTACCTTTCGAAACCATTAAAAGGTTTCAAGTGTTATATTTTGTGTTTCAGTATTAACCATRTTTGTACTGAAGTATTTTCGTCTTTATTTCAGTTCTGCGGCTTCATGCAATTTCGTTCTAGTCCAATTCTGTATTGTGAATGCTGCAGTATTGTATTACGATAATTAAAGCAACTATACTATAGACTACGTGAGTAATAGCATAATTTGTATAATGCTGTATAATTTGGCAGTAATTTTAAACTGTTTTGGAGAGCCGAATAAATAGAATAGAAAAAATAGTTGATGACGCGGAAAATTCGCGTGGGTCAAAGCATGTTGCGGCGTGACATAACACTTGTTTATTTTTGTTTCTTAAGTGAATCGTTTGAATTTTTTTAGTTGGTTTTTTTATTTTACCTCAAAGTCTTTCACTTTAATTCTTTGCTGTGCTGATACACTAACCGGAACTAGTTGAATAAAACTTACCAATCAGATAACAGTAATCTAGACAGAGATTTAACTGATAACAGTGTTAGCCAATCAGATTACCACGTTTTCACACTCTCATTATATCCACGTGCTATCTDATTGGCTGGTTAAAAATATCGAACAAAATGTCGCAATATGATTGGTTGATGATGCTAGTTTATCAAAGTGGTCCAGTTGGAGCAATTTTTCTCTTTTCTTTCCTTCCTTCCTTCCTTTTTTCCTTTCTTTTTTTCTTCCTTCCTTCCTTCCTTTTCTTTCTTTCTGTTGTCTTTGTTTTTCGGCTTTGTTCGTTCTTTAATTTAGCTTCTTTTCTGGTGTTATTCCTTCTGCTTCMTACTTTCCTCTACTATTATTCGCCGGCACCCGGTCCTTTCAATACCTCATTGCTTCTTTATATACGAATGTACCACACATCGCCCTAGCTCTTCGTGGTCTTTATTTCAATCAGTTAATGTCTTACCTCATCACACTTTAAATGCACAATAAAGTTTCTTAGTATAAATAAGATTTTTAATTTCAACAATGCACATCGCTGCCTGAACCAGCCTCTGGCTGATTTAAGTCGGGCATGCCGGGCTATATGACTCACAGATCGAAGCCTSAAACAATCTCTGGGCTGGCATGGCTAACTCGTAGATGCAGAGGGAGGAAAATCAGAGAATCCGTTGAAAAAAACCCTAATCGAAGGAGAGACCTAACAAACTCTACTCACATGTAATGATGAATCCTAGAAAGTCATATATTTATAAGTATAGTTGAAATAATCAATCAATCAATCCATTCCTCGCTTTTCTTATTGGTAGAACGACATCTAGGTGCCCCTTAATGTACTTAGTAGGTTAAAACTTTAAGTTAAGAGATAGAGCTCAACTAAAACGTTCAATGTCACTGAAAGAAGGGCACTACTTCTTGCCAGAGTCATCACAGAATCAATAAAAATTTACAAGCATCCTTTTCATGTTATTAAGGACATCACCAATTTCCACTCACCCAGATCATGCTCTTCTATACTGCCACTATCACGAGATGTATCATGACTAGCATCACATACTCGCTCTTGATTCAAGGGTATTTCTTTCTAGGTTCTCCGGTTTTCCTCATGGGTACCGCTAATTAATCTTCGATTTCATTGAAGAACCATACACGTTTTGAACTTCAAGAGGTCAAAACCCTCAAATTTAGCAAGGGAATTTTGTTGTTGTTATTTTCCAGAATCCAGGTAATATTTTTTTAAAGTTTAAGACAATTCTGTTCATCAGAACAATGTATATCGTTCTGTTTGTTTTGTGCTCAATTTTTACGATAACTTGCACACCGTAGAACCTGAACAAAAAAAAAATTTTTTTCCATTGCCTACAAGAGTTTATTAAATCAACTATTGTCAGTATTATATAAATGTGGTTACGTGTTCGTAAAAAACTGCTTCTTCCTTAGTTTTGGTTTGATTTTTTTTTTGGACAGAGCTTGATTTTCGCTATTTTTCTTCCAAAGTTGTACAAACGCATGTCATTCTGGAATGATTATCTCAAAAACAAGCTCGGAACACCCCATTTTTCTTTGCATTTTTGAAATCAGCGTTAAATTTCACGTTAAAATAGTTTCAATTTTCAATTTTCTGTTTATTATTYACCAAAGTAGTCAGCCATCTTAAAATAAATAATAGTTGTTCTTTCTAACTAACGTATATAACCTCCTAAATAAAAGAGATGTAAATTATGTTTCCTCAAGCTAGATTTTTTCTCAAATCATCAGTTCAAGGTGCTTAAAAAGCTGTGGAAAGCTATTCTGTAATTTCTCCAAACTCTTTTAAACCRAATAAAAGAAAACTTATGACATTTTCAAATCATTCCAGAAGAAGCTCAATAGCCATAATTGCTTTTAGTGCCATTAGTGAAAAAAACCTTAAATGTGTATGACATATGATTTATGGATTTCAGGTCCTAAAACAAACACAATTCTAAATTCCTAATCGAACCGGTTGTCAAGTAGAGTTTATTTTACCATAATTATTGATATCAGCAGTTGGACTCGTACCAACCGATATTTTTATTCTGAAATCCTTGAAAAAGATGTATAGGGAAAAAAGGAAGAACGTTTCCTGTTGCACCTATAGATAATATTAATAATTCTATGACGTTTTTCTTTTGTCAGGATCAGTTTTCAAGCTATAATTTTGAGAGAAATCTMAAAAAAGAAAAATAATTCTGTCCGTATTGTGACGTCATCCGGCCGCCATGTTGTACTTGTCTCGGTTTTGGCAATGTTTTATTCGATTACTCGCTTTTAATTTCTTTGCTTCATCAAACGTCATTAAGTTACAAAAAATTGTAATGAGAATCAGATCACGATCCGAAAAAAAAAAAACCATTACTCTAAAATTGTTGTTTTTTTAAACTGTCATGTATTTTTTTTGCTTGTTTACTCAGCTATAATTCCAATAACCGATAAAAGCTTAAGTAAATAGTTGCCTGTTTTGATTGCAAAAATTCTTTACTTTTATGATAGATTTTATTTTAATTTGAACTAGAAACCACGGATTTTTAAAAAATATTTGCTAGATTTGCTAAGAAGTTGAACGCAATCAAAATTTTACCGAGGCACACATTTAAAAAAAATAATAAATTATAGAATTTAGAACGGATAGTGCTTAGTCTTTTTTCGTTGAAATTAATACCTCTTGTGTTATGTATCATAGTAACATCACGTGATATTTAACATAATAACATAATTCGTTAAAAGAAAATACTATAGATTTATTATCATCGTTTAAGACCAAAAAGTAGTCATTTAAAAAAGTTTCAATTTTTTTCGATAGCGTGTAAAATTCTCGGTGTTTAAATATTGTTTCAAATATTTTAAAATCTCGAAAAGTGTTTCAAATTAATGATCAAGAAAGTTTATTTTTTACTTACATTAAGAACAGTGATAAGTATATAGATTTTTACTAACGCTGCATAATTTAAATGTTCGAGCGGTATTGATTTCAAGACTATTTGAAGAACATTTTGAGCAAACTGTCAACTTGTCAGAGACCGTCATGCAAGGATTGTCATATACATCTAGTTGTTTAAACATTACAAATTCATACGAGTTTATCAGAAGCTCCGACTTCAAAATCCTGGAGATTTTATAGTCATTTTGAAGGGTAAACAACAGGACAAGTTTTATCCTTGACTCCGAATTTGATTATTGCCATTAGCCATTCCGAGGTTGAAAATAAGACGGGGTCCACTATTTAAGGGAACATATTTCCAAGATTCTCTTCTGATTCTTTCATATAATAAGAAGGATACTTTTTTTTGATAATACTAATGATAATAAAATAATGACAATTAAGGAAGCAAGGAAGGAAGGAAGGAAGAAACGAAGAAAGAAACAAACAAAGAAAAAAAAAAWGGGCAACACGAAGGAACCAAAGGAAAGAAAGAACAAAAGAAAACAAAATGGAAACAAAAAAGTGAATAAATGAACGTCAGACTAGGCACATATCTGCGTGAACTCGGGCTTCATAGCAGAAAATCGAAAGAATTCTTCGTGAACACTGTCATCCTTCTGACGAAACCTTGAAAAATTCCGCCATTGCTCGACCATGTGCTTATGAGGCGCATACAACGCATGCGCATAGAACTTGTGCATGCGCTTTGAACGCAACTGCGATCTGTGACAGAACGCAAATAAAGCCCAATTTATACCTCGGGCATTTCTTTGAAAGCCCGAGTAAAAAATAAATATATAAAGAGAAGGGATAAAATAAACAGCAGAGTGCCTTCCAGTTTATCCAATCCCCCCTTCCCCCCCCCCCCCCCCCCCCCCCCCCCCCCCACACACACACATGGTAACCATGGCATAAAACTAATCTTATTTCTACCTTTCTTTCGTTTTCACACAGGTATAAGCCTATTCGTAACACCCAATTACATCATCGCTTCAGAGTACTTTACTATCCCAGGAGGCATCGCGGGTGACCTATTTTGCCGCCTGTTCTACTCCCAGTGCATTGTCTTCACATTGGGTATCGTGTCTGTATACACACTGACCTTCATGGCCGTGGAACGTTGGTACGCGGTCACGCGGCCTCACAAGTAGGTATTCAAATTATATGATCATCACTATAAATTCCAATCCGATCTATAAGCTTTTGCCTAGTTGGAGCCTAGCCGCTGTGGTGATTGTTCCACGATGTGATACAACAGCTAAAGCTTGATAAATTGTAATAGATTTTACCCCATTTAAAAAATCAAGTTCAGTCATATGTAGAATCTCGTATGTCTTTGTACTTCTGTTGGAAATCAAGAGAGCCGTAGCGGTAGTGCTTTCGGGAGTCTCGGTTTAGATTCCGAACGACTTCGAATTCTCCAGGACGGAAAAAAAAGCAGGCGATTGCGGACTAGTTTGAAGTCAATCAATCAATCAATCAATTTTTTTTTTTTTTTATAATTTCAAAGTTACATTGATATAATTAAATAAATTAAGTATGACAGATTTAAAAGTACAGACCATCTGTAAATAACCATAGGGGCTAGACTAAGTTCTGTTTGGATTGACAGCGAAAAAACCATGCATGAAATCTTCCTTGGTGTAAACGAGACGATATAATGCAATTTAGACCACCTTACCTAACTCATCACGATATATTCCAATTCGATCTGTGAGTTAGCCATGCCCTGACTTAGAWCAGCCCAGAGGCTGTTTGAGGGCTTGATCTGTGAGTTAGCCGTTCTCTGACCGACTTTGATCAGCACAGAGGTTGCCGTGCAAGTTGATTGATAAAATTTGAAAGGTTTTCTTCTCACTGCTTAGAGAAGAATAGGTTTGGTACAAGCCGGGGATAAGGCACATTCATGAAGTTAGTATTAAGAGATCGAAAAATTCCTAGTCTCTTCACGCTCTTTCTGTTTCACTTATTTCTTAATTTATAATTTATTTCTCGTAGCGTTTGATACTCATTCTAACAAGATRTCATATTTTTCAGGTATAAAGATATGTTCTCTAAGAACAAAAAGTATATCTATGTTGGCGTTGTATGGCTGCTTTCCTGCTTGCTCAACTCGCCTCACGCCCTCGAGATGGAAATGACCACTAAAAACTTCACGGAACCCAAGTGCATCTGGGTTACCGCCATTTCCAGCAAGAGTACCAGACAGGCTGTTGCATTCCTGGAATTCCTGGGTAAATACTTTTTGCCAGTTTTCATAACGTGCGCCACATTTTTGAGCCTCCAGATCACGGTCAAAAAGCCTGGGAACTTGTTCTTGCGTCGCAATGGCAACGCTGGTGTACGACTCCTGCGCATGTGCACTTTCACGGCTTTTGTCCTGGCGGTATGTTGGTTTCCCAATCAGTTGTATTACTTGCTTTTTAAATATAATTTAACAAAGCTAAACGTCCCCTGGCACCATGCTACGGTTGTTTTATGCATGTTCAACTCGTGCGTCAATCCTTGGGTATACTGTGTGACCAATAAGACGTACCGTAGAAAGTTCGCAGCCCTTCTTCATAAGTGCTTCCCTAGAGTAGCAGTGAACTGCGAGACAACTTCTGCCACGGCGCCGTTTGAAGGATCTACAGCCACAGATAAACGAACCAAGGATAATCAAACTATATCTACAGAAAAATCCGTAGCTTTTTGTGTTGAAAAGTTCAACGAGGTGGTCAGTTTCGATGAATCAGAAGAGGTTTCGCGTGCAGCTGATGATAATTCGAGAAATCCCGCCCAAATGGAGCATGAGTACGAAGGTACGGAACTTGGACGCGTTTACAGCCCAACCTTAAAAGAAACTGCGGCCAAATAGATCCACAAACACTTTTGTGTTCGGCTAAACAGCACTATATTACAAAGCTTTTCTGTATACGCGGTTTATCTTATAATAAAATATGAAATCATTATATTATTGACAATAATATTATTAACTGATGGCGGGTGAGGTTTTCTGCGTAACATCGCTGGATATTTACAGTGCTAAAAAGGCGGCCTTACAATGCAATGCCAAAAATGTAACGGTATCTCTTAGATGTTCTGTTTTGGATGTAAGCTAAGGAAAAAGAGCTACTTGGTCACAAAGAGCTTTTTCTTTTATTCCAACGTATAAAGCGTAGAATTTCTCTCACCTTTTCCACTACCCAAAAAGGAAGAACCTACATTTTTGGGGATTCTTCGTCGGTTACTTCACACAGTTTAAGAACAGGTTTGCGGTATATACAGAAGTACCCACGTTTTGTTAGTGAAGGTTACTTTCCACTTTCGTATAGCCGGAATATTCACGTGTCTCAGAGTGAAGGTCCGTGAAATTTCAAAGTGTTTGTATTGTTGATGTTGTACATTCTTTACTTTACCGTTGGGATTTGTGAATATATAGACAATGGTACGAAGATAAGCCTGAGTAAACGAGTCTGTTATCAAGGTACAAGGAATATTTTACGAATACGAAAAGAATCTATTTCTGGAAAGCGTTTGCATTCCCAGCCCACGTCAATGCATATCTTGTGATGTTTATTTTACAATTGATACAGCTGTAACAACTGTCACTGAAATAACCTAATTAAAATGGTGATATTAAATTTCATCTGGACTTCTTTTACGTCGGTGAAACAATAATCTGATGTAATAATGAATAATCACGTGTATTTAAGGTTCATATCCGTTCAATTTAGTGAGGAAAATCGGTGTGACGATACAACATGTATAGACTTGAAATCACGATGTATCAACAGACCTCAAGCTTGGGCGAAATGTTTTCCGCCCCATTTCAGACCACCTGTCATCCCCTTGAGAATAACATTCATTTTGAGCTGTTGCCAAACTCATGTATCTTCTTATGCGCCACCTTTAAGCAAAGAAATAATACTCTAGGGAATGACATGTGGTCTGAAACGGGGAAAACTAAGCCCAAGGCATAGATAAAGAGGTCTATTCTACAGGATCATGTGTAATTCAGTGTTAGGATTTTGATGGTCGACTTATATGAATGTCAAACTTACTGACAAGCCCTATCATGCAAGATTTAAAAGCTAATATTCTTTAACTGTTGAACAAACAGAGAGTGCTCTTCAGAAAACTTTGGAGCTAAAAAAAGATAAATTTTGGCAAAGGCAAACACATTAAGACATATTTTGACGTATTTTGAAGGCTTCAAAACGCAGGATACATTTGTAAAGACTTTGTAAATGGCTTCTAATCGAATTAACGAATCAGAAAAGCATGAAAATATTTGGCAGTATAAATATTCAATAAATTTGAATGAAATACACAGACTGGCTTTAAACCGCACTGTGCATTTGCAAAGCGCTTGAATAACTTCAATTTGGAATTAACCAATAAGAAAGTCGTAKGCATCATCAAATCAGCGTAAGACAAATCGGAAGCCATTTCAATGTCAGGATAGCAATGTTTTTAAAACAAACTTTTAGGTTATTTTTATCTTTTAGCGTCCCAAACAAAGGAAATCTCACTTCTGCATTCAAATCCGTTCAAATCTTCGAGATTCCTTGATTCTTTGAATCGAGGAAGCGATTACGTGAATCGCAGGTAAGATCTAATTAAACAATTTGTTTTGTTGCAGAACGATTATCACTTTTTTCCTGTTTGTACAAACCCCTTACCATGTTCCTGGATCAAATTATAAATCCTGTCAATAATCATCGTGATTTTAGAAATTAKAAATTGGTGTATTAAATTCAATCAGTTTACGTGTCTTTGTATTCATTTTTCGCTGCTATTTTGGTTTCGCGTAAAAGTGACATTTTGTGGATCCCAGCGCTAGGAAAAGTTCGCTTTGTTTCGGTAAGTACAAATTACGTCTTTTTCATAAGTTATTAGTTTTCTTATACCGTAATATTTATATTTCGAAATATTCTCATTTGAATGAAAAATATTCAAGTGCTAAATCTGTCAGACGTAAACTTKATGTCTAATGAGATTCTCACAAAATTCTCCCAAATCCGGATCTTGTCTGAGCACGAAGTATTATATGACAACTGTTCTTTGAAAGTTCACCCATCTGCATCTCGTTCTACCAATATATCCTATAAAAAGCCGCTGTTTTAGACCGAGGTAAGCCTACAATTGATTCTACTCTGTCAGGTTTAAGTTTACATGAATTTTTTCAGGAAACGGCGTTAATCAGACATTCATTTTATCGTTTTTCAAAAACGATTTTTTCATTTTTCCACACACATATAAAATGAAACTTAGAAAAGTATAGATAATGTATAAAGTATAAAGGTGCAGAAAAGAACAACCCGATCGAGAGGGATAATTTAAGAAGATCTTGCCTCCTAAACTATCGTTAATAAAGCAAAAGTTTATGGGCGTATTGATAACAACGAATGATTTATAAGTACCTTGTCTGAGGTATTACGCTGGGAAATGCTGGAAAAAGTCGAAAGAAAATTTCTCAAAAAGCTCTATATATCGGCAGTCTTCAAAGTAAGTTTTTCTGTAAGAGCTCAGCAGTCACTTTTTTCTTTGGTTTGGGACCTAATTAGACAGAATTTTTGGCAATGAAGTCTTGCGTTTTAAATTAAAATTTGTCGATGACAGCTGAAAAATTGAAAGAAGTTTTAATTTTGAGGATTTTTAAACCTATATTAACGTCGAAAACTGAAATCCTTTAACTCTATTCACTCGCTCACTACAACTAAATATGAAGTTCAGTAAGCTTACGACTCAACTCACAAGTGACTTAGTAGTGTTTAAACCCTTATCGAAAAGCTCCTTAAAAATAAAACTAGGTTTCTTATTAAGAAATAAAAATCTCATTGGAAATGTAACGCACAATATATTTCTAGCATTTTTAAAGTGAGCCGCTACTTTATTATTACAAATGTAATAAACCTATGCTTTAGGCATTCTCCCAGATAAAATATATTTCATAAAATAGATGAATTAATACATAGTTTTTAAGACTAAAATAAATTTTGATAGCTCTTTTTTTCCTACAATTGTCTTTGTTTGGCCCGACTCTTATTCTTTTTTTTTTTTTAATTTAAGCGTATCCTCAGTGTATTCAATATGTGACTTAGCATCATGTGTTTACACCTTGCGAAAGGGAAATCCAAATCATTCTTTACATAAATTAACAGATATTCTAAAACCCGATTTTTGATTGAACTCTTTTTTCGTTATATCAATTTTACGGACTTATTACCGCTAGCTTTTTTGAGGAGCAGTGAAAAGAAGAGATAGACGTTCACAATAGTCGTTCAGCTTTGTTCTACCGCTTATCTTTTATCATAAGTTAACAAGACCAAGTACCCTGTTGTCGAATTCTTAGAATTCACCTCAAATTACCTTTATTTAATAGATAGAGGATATTACATGGGGGCGCGGAGATACGAATTTTATCTTCGAGTGTTGAAAAGATCCCTCACGAGTGAGCGCAGCGAAAGAGTGAGAGATTTTCAACACGAGAAGATAAATTTCGTATCTCCAAGCGCCCATGTAATATTCTGTTTATTATATATTTATCCATAAAATAAACTTAATAAGCTTTTTTATTATTATAACTAACTAACTAATAGCTTAAATACGTAAGGTAACGATATTTTCACATGTGAAAATAACATGTTATTTTCACATGTGAAAATATCAGTTTTTCGAAAAGGAGAAATATAGGTATTTTATGGATAATTATATTATAAAGACTGATATTACCTATTGAGATATAGATTTTGATACCTAATCAATGGCATACCGCGAGGGGGTACTGAACCTGTTTCACACTATTATATATGGCGGGAAACTCTAGAGATGAAACGCGTACGCTTGTGTATTGGCGGGAAAATGGTACATTGTCCCCCGTTCGAGACCTCGTTACGCCCCTGTATACCTAATTGTTGGAAATGATCGAACTTGGTTATTTCGTTTGGCATTTTTTTAGAGTTTTTCTGGAATGCTAAGCACTCCAAAGCCCTCAATTAGTGAGTTATTTTGGGGTCTTTTATCGTTCTCATATAGTAGTCGTAAAATACGTTTTACGACCTATATTATCTGATAGAAGCTTTTGGTTTATATTGTACTAAATCTGATAGAAGTTTTACAGTTAAAAAGAGAAAATTCAACTAAAAACGAAAGGTTGTCATAAGTTTTGCTCTCGTAGTATATACAATAGACGAAGAAAAAGTTTGATATCAGGGCACTAAAGTAACCTTTAAACCCACTAGCAAAACCCGTTGCTAGTAAACTTCGTTCTCATTAGCAAAAATTTCCAAGTCACTAGCGATCGGACGAAGTCAATAACAAACCTTCTAAAGTTCTAAACTTTTCAGTCCTTCAATTTCTGGACTGTGGTCATACTCGCAAAACTTAGCTGGTTAATTTTTTTTTTTCTTTTTTTTTCTTTTTGTCACTCGCTAAATTCAAAATTTCACCCGCATTTTGCGAGTTTGCGAGCGTTAATTTTGGTCCYAGATATCACTAGAAAATTGCTCTTTGAAATTAGATATCCAGACTTTACCCTTGCGCTTGTAAATATTTATTTAAGGTTTTTCCATCAGCAAGCAAATGTTCGACATACTGGCAGCATTGGCTACGAGTATATTTATTGTGATCATTCCTAAGAAAATAGAAATGTTGGTTTGGCGGCTACGAAATTTTACGCGCGCTAAATATTAGTTTTCCCGGGGTATGATAGCATGAGAAGAGCTAGAAACTCGAACTACTCAGCAAGGTGATATAGATGCTGCGATAGAAATCATTTTTGACCTCCGGTATAGATTAAGAAAGTAGGAGTACAAGAGGATGGGGCCAATAAACTCTACTACTTTGGATGTGTCATTTGATCGGTCGATATCAAAGACACTTGCATGCAATTGATATTTAACTTGGAAGTAAATGAAATACAGAGAAAGGAAGAAGGAAGGGAGGAGGAAAGAGATAAAATAGAAGAAAGGAAAGTAGAAGAAAGTAAAATAGTGGGAGGAAATATATTATATATTATATATATATTACTATTGTGAAATATTCTTCAACCTCTGAAATCCTGCAGCTGTCGAGTAATACATAACAAACGTCCTGGTATCTAATAAATTATATTCTCAAATGGGCTTAAGAGTACTTGAATTAAAATAATCTCAAAATGGATATATCCGGCTCTTTCAATTCGATTGATCAGAGACTAAAATCGCACCATTCAAGTAGCGGCAATTATCATTATGACAGTTATGTATCCCTGGCTCTGACAGTTTGATATTATCATTATAGCTTGTGTCAAACAGGAAGACAACCTCAGTTTTGTAATTAAAAGATTTTTTTCAGCTTTAAGTTGTGAGGAAGGTGATAATGAACAAATCAAAAAGAAAACGGCGTGTTTTGATTGAAGTGGCGAGTTGCCAGGTGACTCGAAATCTATTGGTTYTCTTGAACATTTTAGGCATTTCTATCGATTATCCTTCATTAACATAGTTTATGATCCCAATAAAAAGGACGAAACATTAAGTGGTATAAGATATTTGACGATCCTTTTATGTACTAAAGATCACTTGTCATAAGGGCCTAGCCACTGAGAGCGCAATATAGACCCCTTACATGTGACGTCAAAGCAGCTCAATTTGGAGGTCAAATTTCAATCTCATGAGAATTGAAAAAACCTATTATTATGTCCTCCAAATTGAGCTGCACTAGATTCCGTCGTACTGCAAGGGGTCTATTGCCGTGATCATTTCTAGATCTCTTTGGCAGTTTTGTCATTTGTCCGACGCGTGTTTCTTTGGGGGGAGGGGAGGGGGAATAGTTTGTTGAGGTTGATGGAAGTTGAGCCCTCATGATAAACCCTGAAACGCCTGATTTAGAGCTACCGTTTTATTTAAGGTATTATCGTATGTTCATTTATTTCCAGATCGAAGTGGAAAACTAAAAGATGCTGAATAGCACGAACGATTCGTTGGATAATACATTCTATCGTCAAGCCAGTGAGCAGCATGTTGCTCTTCGTACTGGTCTTGGTACCATTGCGTTTCTTTCCTTCACTGGGAATGGTCTTCTCGTAGTGTTGTTCATGAAGAACAGAGAACTACTCAAAACACCCTACAGTTTATTCATACTCAGCCTTGCTGTTACGGATATGACAACAGGTACTCTAGGAGGGTGGCATGGTGTAGAACATACCCTAGAGGAGTGGGGTGATGTGATTGACAACAGGTACTCTAGGATGGTGGGGTGATGTGATGACAACAGGTACTCTAGGATGGTGGGGTGATGTGATGACAAC